TTGCATTATATTCAGAATTGCGTCGTCGTCGTTGCGGCTTTCGGCCGGCCGCATCGCGTCTTCTCCGCGCCCTGCCGCCGCGTGGTCCTTAATATCCGACCGGCGGTCTATTTTTAAGCGTGACTAGCGAGGTATGTGCATGCGTGCGGTGACGCAATCCTATGGTCTTTCCCCTTTATATTTCCCTCCCTACCCAGCTTACACCGCTCTTCCTCTCGCGCGCCGGCCGGCCGGCCTGCTGCTGCCGATGGGACCAAGAGGAATTCGACCGATAACGGCGAGTCTGCAACGTATATTCATGAACTTCCGATGCGACTCGCGCGAGCAAAAGAGATTTCTTCCCTTGCGATTTGCAACTGTTAATGCATTTAACCCTTCGAGGTATCCTTCAATGGGGTTTCTTCCCACAGACGATTGATAAAAGTTCAGTCATTCGACGACAGAATCGTGCAGTTTGCGTATATTTTGGGATTTCTATTTTTATATTTCAAAATAAGATCCCTACTAATGAAACAATATATTATAAATAAATAAATATGTATATATATATATATATAATATTTAATAAATAAATATATATATATAATATATTTAATATATATATATATATATATATTTATTTATTTATTTATTTATTTATTTATTTATTTTACATCAACTTAATGCCATGAAAGGACTTGGTGTATAATTTTTACCTACTTAATTTTTATTAATTCTTGTTGACTCTTATTTCCTGCTTAATTCTCGCACTAACTCTAAATCCCAACTTATTACTTCGTCTTACATCTCTTCACTTTCCGTCTTATTTTCTTTTTCTATATCACTACTTTTTTTCTCTTCTGCAACTCTTTTTTTCTTCCTCTTTTCATAGCTTCCTCCAATATAGACAGCGGAAAAAGAAAAAAGGAGAGAAAGGAGAAGCAAAGTTTCGCTTTCGCTTAGTAAAATCGCAATATTTTTGCTTAGCAAAATCAAACTTGAACGAGATAAATTCGAACTCTCTATGAGTACTCGGAGGAGCGGAAGCGGTAGGCACTTCCGTGCGGTATCGAGCCGCGACCGAGTGGGTTCGAAGCTCTCAAGTGCCTTCGTTAGAAGTAGACGTGCGAACTGGCAGGCTGAATGTCAAGGAACCTTCTATCTGTTCACGGCTATTCTGTTCACAGCTATACGCGGGTGAAGGTCAGATAAGATTGCCAGATAAGTTTCTGTGACACTCGTTCTCGAACAGTCGCGTACGTTTTTTTCGGGACCGCTTAGCATAATTTGCGCTGGGACACAAAGCGATTGTGAATGCTCGTGTTCATTGGCAGAACCTTCTTTAATCCTTATCCTAATTCTGATCGATAAGTAGAATGCGATATTCGAAATAAATAACTTAGTTTCATTAGCTAAATCTCAGTAGCTGATTCGAATTTGGCTGAAAGGCTATTTTGCCCTGTCATTGCGGATAAAATCTATTCACTTCTATTACATTCGCATTCGTAAAAATTTTATTAGCTTAATTTAACTGAAATTAAAAGTACACACTAGCGCGAGTACACAGAGATAAAAAGATTTCCTTAGATTTAATAGAATTTCTTTAATTGAAATAAATTTGTCGTTTGGAATAGAACAAACAAACAAATGTTTGATTAAACAGAATTATTTGGTTTCTCGAACAATCAATATTTTTACGTCAAGTAGTATATTTCTTATGTATTTTCACCCAAACACATGTATGTTAGAAAAATATTAACGAACATTTTTGTTTCAGTACAGAACAATATTTAATGAAATATATTTTTTTATTGAAAGCAAAATATTATTTCCTCTAAGTAATATTGTTCTTCCTATCAAACAACATGGTTTATTCTAGTGAAACAACATTCTTATCCAAACAAAATGACGTTTGATATTAAATTAGGTTGTTTATATTAAAGAGATCCAAGTCAAACAAATGTGTGCACTAAATCCAAAGAAATCTTTTTTTGTGCAGCTATTCCTAAATACCTTATCGTGTTCATGTGCACACATACAGTGAATGAAAGAAAGATTGCAATTCTTTTATCTTAATGAATTTCCGAACGCCTTTAGTAGTTAACCAGTAGGAAAAACTTATCTTTCGAGAATGATTAAAAACACCCATCTTCTCTCATTGAGTACCGGATGTGTTCTGGAATTCATCGAGATAAAAGTGTCGCGACCTTTCTCCCGCTGACTCTCTACTGAAACGTCATTTATTTCTGACAGCGAGTATTTCTCGTTGTAGCGCCCGAGTTCAAAGGCGAATAAATTGGGCGCTCATTAGCAACATTAGCTATCCCTGTTCCAAAGGAATATCTTAGCTACATCTTAGCACCTGCTAATTCTTATTCTGCCCGCACCTCTCTCTCTCTCTCTCTCTTTCTTTCTACATCCTCAGACACTGCTTTTGAATTTTGTTCCGTCCGTCGTTCGCGAATTAAAAGAAAAAGAAAACGATCATCACCCACGAAAGGATCTTCCTCGTGAACGACACGGGTTCTTCCTTCTTCGGGTCGTGTCAAAGTCGAGAAACGCGTATAACGACGTACTCGCGCACGCACTATCCGCGTCGCTGTGCAGACACGCACGCTCCAACCTAGACCTCACTCCACTCACTCGATTCACTCCACTTGTTATTGCGAATTCGAGGTTTTATCGGGTCGGAGCGAACGCGCGTCGAGCAACTCGGCTCCGGGAATCATTAATCTTCGCGCCGTAAATGAAGCGTTTTCACGCTTTAATACAAAGCGATCACAGTCTCTCTCTCTTTCTCTCTCTCTCTCCTTCCGTCCGTAGACCGTAGGCCGCCTAGGAAATTTGTTTTTGCCCGGTTGAATCACCACACATCACGTCGCTCGTCGTCCGAGAGGCGGCGAGCGAGCTCGGCATCGTCTTCTCGTCGTAACGGGGCGTTTAGCGTTTTTATCTCGGCTCGGCTGTATTTGCATTTCTATGACGAGCCCCGGCACTGAGTTTTCGGCACGAGTGGGTTTGACTAATGGGGAATGATTGGTTTATTGACTGAATGCTCACCAAATTGGTTCGTCGATAAAAGGCGGAGATAGATTGCAATAAAGATACCGATGTCTGAAGATCGGACGCAAAAGAGAAACGTTGATTGAATCTTTTTTTTTTTTCAACGATACGCGTAGAGCACTCTCTTCGATTCAAATTCTCCGCCGTGCGCAAGATCCTCGAAGAATCGAAGTTGATTTCTCTTTCTCTCTCCCTCCCCCTCTCTCTCTCTCTCTCTCTTTCTCCGTATAATTAATTTAAAAAACTCGGCGGTAACGTCTCAAGTTGCAGAATCATCTAACATTTGAGATCGAAGAATCTCTCGATTCGAATCGAAGTTCTCGTAACGCGTAACAGTTCCTTTGTCACGGAAGTGCCGTCCGGTTGTGGCGAAAATTTAATTTGCGCCGATTGTCGGGGGGTATTTTGAGACTCCGAAATTGAAGAGTCACGGCAAATAATCGCCGTCCCGCGGAAGATCCGTCACAGATGTCAAGCTCTCATCAAGGAATATTTATCCCAAATTGACGATTAAACTACCCGTCAACGACAGGAAGGAGACGTCAATGGCGGAACGGCTCGCATGTACGCGCGTGTACAGCATAATACGAAAATAATTTATATAATTACGTAGTATTTACACGGACTTACCTGTCGTAGGCGGCTTTTTCGGCGTATCAGATTCAGCGTAGCCGTCCTATTAAGTCTTAACGCGAGAGTTAATCATTCTATTCGGGATCCTATTCCTTCCTTGCGATGACGCAAGACCGGATTTTCGCTTCGCCTAAAAGCGATCGCTTATTAAGTTAACGCGGCCGCGAGAGAGAGAGAGAGAGAGAGGGGGGGGGGAGTTTTATAAGCGTCATCGGGGTATTAATTATGGTAAGAAAAGTTCAGTGTGTCCGTTGCGAAACATCAACCGGGCGTTGCGTTCGCCGCGCGCGCGCTCGCGCGGTATCTATTTCCACCGCGGCGGCGCGTCTCGCTTTAATGGGAGATTAAGAAGAATTATGCGATAACGTGGCGTTTCCTTTTACAGGTACTCGACACCGGTTGTAATTAGCGTTTATTGCGAATGAGCGATCGAGCACTTTATGAATCAGACACAGGCGCGCACCGTTAGACGTCGGAACGGCCGATATTTTGTCCGCTTTTTAAGCGCGATAACTCGACACCGGTGAAATATCGACACCCGTCCCGCGATTATCCGTCGTTAATGACGCGTATCGGTGCCTTCGCCATTTATGCAATGAATTCAACGCGCGATAAAGGCAGCAGAAATGCTCGAAGACGTCGAAACGAAGGACGAAGAGAGAGAGAAATAGGGAGAAAGTGGGTCCGCGTTCTCACGAAGCTCCACTCCACCCCCGTCGATCGATTATTTTCGAAGTCAGTTGGAAGCAGGGTTGGCAAATGATGCGTTATTGCTTGTGACGTCGTCGTTTTCCCTAATAATCGCTTTTTTCTTTCATTGACGACTTGGTAACGTTATTTTTTGTCCATGTTAGCAACAATAGCGATAATGCGAGTATACTTTTTATGTAACGGCAACGTTACTAATATAATCGTTACTTTGATCGTTACGCTTTGCGCGTATAGAATACACGTGGAATGGGCAGCAGCACATCGTAAAAGAAAAAAGAACGGTCTTCGTAATTTGGTGAAATAAGTAGCGGAAATTGCAACGAATCATTGCTTCCTGAGTAACGATAACGGTAACGAGTTATTTTTCAAAATGAGTAGCGAGCTACGGTGAACCAGTGAAATATAATTTTGCTTGAGAAATACAAGCTTTATGAGCCCCCTTGATACGCCACCTGAAATTATGGCGCCATATGATTGGGCAGTGCATCCTTAAAGAGTAAGCTCACCTTGAAGAAATTATTTCGCGAAGACGTCACACTTCCGGCACGGCGTCTTTGCGAAACCCTATATAATAATAAGAGAACCCGCTTAGAAATTCGCTTCTTTCGTTGCAGACTGGAAGCGCAGTGTCCACCAGCGGATGCGACAGCCAACATGGACTCCCATGTCGGTCTCGACTACATCGTGGATAATCCTGATTATTGCGTCAAGCTCGCCTCGGGTAAATCGTCCGTTTTTCTTTCCTGATCCCCCATTAATCTCTCCCCGATCCTCTTTGTGTTTTTTGTGCGTCTCTCTCTCTCTCTCTCTCTCTTGCGTAGTTAGTCAATGCTAATGCATTACGATTTCGATTGCAGCACTGGACACGGCGTGTCCGTCCGTGAAGAAGCAAGTCGTGGAGTTACTGTCGGCGCTGTGCGTCTACAGCCAGGATGGCAGGCAGAGAGCCATCGATACTCTTCACACCTACCAGGTGCGAGCGAGCGTGTCTAATGTTGAAAGCTAGCGAATTTTTATTCTCGCTTTCAGCGCGCGATTAACTTGACGGACGACGCGGGAGGACGAGGGACTGTCCGTAAACGATCGCCGGACGGACTCGCGAGCCGATTACATTATACGTCGCGCGCGACGGTGGGCATTCAGATGCAAAGAGTGCCTGCTGATTGTAAAAGTGCCGTGTGCCGCGAGCTTAGGTAAAAGTCACGGTTCAAGGTCTCCCTTCGGTGAACAAAAGAACGAACGACACTCTGTGTAATATACCTCTCCCGTGTTCGCGCGCACGCGAGCGCGCGCGCCACGCGAGTAAGAGTGAATTGCCGTAATGTTTCCCATTGTTTAACACGTCGCATTGTGAAATATATACTTTTCTTTTTTTATTCCGCCGGGAGGGCAATTTGCATGCGCTCCGCAAGAAACGAAGGCAGAGGACGCGAAGCGCCGTTGAATTCTCCCGCGCGAGAAGCGAGGGAGACGGGGAAATGTGCCGAAGACCTCCGCGACTTCCCGGCGCTCGGGCGACGACGTCGCTTGGGTTTCGAGAAATAAGAGAGCCGCGGTTTTTACAGGTGTTTGCGGAGATTTTAACGACCCTCTTTTAGCAAGCGGCCTTGTCGGCGCAGCGACGAACAAGCTTTCAACACGCGAGAATCACCAGCGAACCTCGCGACATTCTTCCGTTTTATTCCCCTCCCTTCTTTTCCCCCTCGCTCGCTTTTTCATTTTCGAATCTAAATGAGGGGTCTTTACGAGCTTTTAAAGCGCGCATCGCCGAATAAATCAGGCGGAAGTACGAAGTTCACCGTTAATGAATTATCGCCCGCGCGCCGTCGCGATGCGAGACGTCTTTGTTTCCCGCGGAATCGCCGCCGATGTATCTCGGGAATACGTTTTCCCGGAATAGAGAGGAGCGTGATAACTTCGAGCGAGGTCTCATGAGAGGCTTATATTCGGTCGCAGGAGCGGAAGGGCGAGCGTTATCGATTGCGAGTCGTGGTAGACGAGCTGCAGAAAGCGACGGCCGAGGATTACCAGACCGCGCTGCTGGCGTTCATAAATTGTTTGGTCATCTCGACGCCGGTGCTCAAGGATCGCATACGCATTCGCAACGAGTTCATCGGTGAGTGAAAGAAAAGCGGCCACTTGAGCCGCTCCTCGCGCCATCGAGTCGCGCGCGCGCGTCTGTAGCTCGCTTCCTCATTGCCCCGGGATTAACTACTTGACGATCGCGCGTTTTCTTAAACGTTCTTTCATTCGGCGGAGGAGGCAAATATATCGCTCGAAGACGGCGGTGATTTACTCGTTTCATTAGCATCAGCCGCGTGCAAGGTAAAAATCGACGCGTTCGCGCGGAGTCGATGCGATCGGCCGATCGGCGCGCGAGTCGCGCCTCGGGCGATCTGCCCGAATGTAGTTTGAGTTAATTGGCCCGGCAAATAAATCTCGCGGGACCTCTCGATTTAACGTTAATCCCGGCTCGCCCGGGAATTAATGATGTGCGCGTCGCACGGCGAAAGTTCCATTACCGGGTGTGTCTTCCTTTTTTCGGCTCGCAATTTTTAGGCGATTCCTCCGAATTTTATTGGCCACGCGTGATAAATGTGACGGAATTTTGAAATTCAGCACGTGCGCAGAGAAACGTACGTTTCTTCCACTTGGATATGTTTAATATTAACGATATAATTTAATATCAGTATTTTAATTTAATATAAGTATTCAGATACTTAGATAATCGAATGCCCGAGTAATTTGAAATGTAACCGGATATTCGAAATTAGCATCACCAGTCGCAGACAAATCTAGAGATCTTATGCAGAGACTTACGCGAACAAAAACACGGCACGAAATTCGCACATTCGTAGATTCCACGGATTCGTCGGGAGTTTCGCACGGAATCACCGAATCGTGTGCTTTCTCGTTCCAGGACTCAAGCTCCTGCCGATCCTGAACGAGCTACGGTGAGTATACCAACCAACGACCCGGATTCGCGGCATTAACTTATTAACCACTTTAACATTGTGTGGAATATAATAAATAATAATGAACGTGTTACGAAAGGTTACGCTTCATTGTACCCACACCTTCCTTCTTTGCACGCTACGTAATGTCGAGCGCACGCAGAAATAATTACACCGTTCGGATTGGTTGGTACACTAACGAGGGAGGATACGCCGTCGAGGCTGCGATGGACGTCGTCGTCTCTGCATGCACTAATCCAAATAATATTCTTAATGCGAATGCCTCCGAATAATTCGGTCCTTCACGTTTCTCAAGCGGCGGAGAGAGACGATAAATCCATAAGTTTGCACCAAACGATGAAAATGTCAGAATAAATATAATTAATTGTACCGTCTATCTTTCGAATCTTTGCGCGATGTTTTGCGCAAAATGTGAAACACGATGCTTTTTTTCTAATCTACATTTAACCCGAACAAATGTCTACTTAGCGCGCAAGACTGTCGACGGCTGTGTGTAAAATTGTTTCAGACCCGTGTTGCTCGAGCGAAATTTTTTTCTCGCACCTTCGGCTACTCTTCGATTAAACGCCATTGTTAACGGATATTATGTACACCGCTTATCAGTAGGCACTGTTATGCAAACAGTACGATTAGCGCGATCTGGTGCGCTGACTCAGAAACGAATTCGTAGTCGTACCATATACGTTCAGAGACGATCATGCAAGCGAATCCGTTCGCTCCGCGAGAAATAGGAACGAATCCGCATACGACGATTCGGTAATACTGATAATTTCGCTTAAGGAGATCTCCGAGCGATTGAATTCAACTCGAGTGGGGGAAAGAGAGTTGCGTAGAAGTTACGAAGAAGTTACGAAACGCGTTGTTAATTTAACGGCATTGTGTAGATCGCGAATATAAATCTTCCTGACAGTGTAGTGAAATAATTATAGTTGGAAAATCCACTCGCATAGTAAATGCTGTATTATAGTGTTATCAATAATTGTACATGTTTATCGCTACCACTACTTTCTATTGGAGCAATAGAAAATATGATTGGCGCCGAAAATGACTATAATTTCTAGAAAGATTCATAATTTTTTCTCAGTGCGAAGCGACAATTTTATAAAGACCGCCATGATGGAAAGATCTTGAGAGACTTCCGCCTCTTCGATGTTACAAACTCGATGTAAAGCTCTCACGCGAGACGGATTGTGATAACGTTGTGCCAATTTTATTATCTTTAAGTAACATTTTTCACATCCCTCATTTCAAATCTTCGAAACCTCCCGTTAGAGAAGTTCGTTCCTTGAATCATGACAGTTTTTCTTCGAAGTCGCGAGACACCATCAAGCGAAAAGGAGTCGCGTGGAGTCTCCAAGTTTACCCGAAGATTCCACACTGACGACCGAGAAGGACGCGGGCCCAGATGACACCTTCATCGGCGCGACAGTGCGACGCCAATGGGCGAGAAATAGAATCGAGTATATCCGGGCAATTCGTCTCCCTCTCCACATTCTCAGCAACGTTCTCGACGAGCGAAGAGAAGAGAAGATACGGAAAGGAGAGAAAGAGAGAGAGAGAGAGAGAGAGAAATAGCGAGAAGGACGGCGGGAAGGGAGGTAGAAAGGGAGGAAAAATAGAAAAGGGCGTCGGCGGGGGCCGGAGGGAGCGAGGAAAGCCCGAATTAACTCCTTGCCTTAGCGATGCACCTGCGACACCGCGTCTCGCGCCGCGCTCTGGAGCGGACGTGGTGCAACGACGCGTAGCGTCGCCAGAAACGCATCCGCCGTCGCGACGCGCCGGCCGGCCGGCGTTCTCCGCGTTTGCCGCCTTCGTGACTCGTGACCCCGTGATCTCCGTCATCGGAAGGAAACTCTTCCCGCTCGTCGTCGTCGTCTCTTCTTCCTTCCACCCGCTCTCATCCGAAGTCTTCATCCGAAATTTTCATCCGTCGCCGACGCTCGGCGCGTGCATCACCGATGGTCGATCCAGCGGTAAGGAAGAAGAGAAGAGAGAAGCCGGGAATCTCGTTGTCCTTGTCTCGACTCCTCATCCCGATTGAGAATCGATGCCCGAGGAACGCGCGACGCGGCTCATCTCTCGCGGTAGTGCAGTGACACACGCGAACGTTAATTAATCCGTCCGGCCACGAGTATATTTTCAACGCGCGTCGCCGATGAATCACACGCCGGCGCTCCACTTCCTCCTGGCCCGCCCCGCAGCCTCCCCGCCGGAGAAGAGAGATGCTCGCACGACACCGAGAGGAAATAGAACGTTACGCGCTTGGATCCGGAGCTTCGCCCGCGGGGAATCCGCGCGAGCTATTCGCCCTGCCTGATCCGTCCCGCGTTTAATCGGCCTATTCTGTAGAAACTGAAGGAGTAAGCTGACGAATTGATTATTCTCGCTGTTTCCCAACAGACTGCAGAATCGAGCAAGTAGAGATTTCAAACATGTCAAAGATGATCATAAAACCCCCACTTGCTCGATTCTGTAATCGGAAATCAGTAGAAATAATCAATTTTCTCAACTCACCCCTTTAGCCAACTGGTCCCGATATCCTTCCACTTTTAACGACAGTTTTCTCTACTTTACGTCATTGCGTGGATTATTATATATGGTGAAAAATGGCGAAACAATATCCTAGGCTAGTGACATTGTTACGAAGTAACAGAATAGGCTTTTACAGATTTCACCTCGAAGCGGAACTCTCGGTCGCACACGGTCACTCGAGGTGAACGGCGATTTCGTGTATTTTAAGAGAGAAAGACGCGTTTTAGAGAACTCCCCCCTCCCCCTTTTTCCTCCCCCTATGTGTGTGTGCGTGTCTCTCGTCCTTTTGCTGGCCCGCGAGCGTCGTCGCTCCCCACGTGAGTCACGGCCGTGGCCCCGTGGCGCGCGTTCTCCTCGCACTCTTCTTTATCCCTCGTCTGTTTTGCTCGTGGCGAAGATCGATGGCAGGATTGGACCGCCGCGCCGAGTATTTTGGTACGCCGCGGTAGGACACGCTGGAAGCTTCCCAGATCGTTCGCCACGCTCGACTTATCTGTCTTTCTCTCTCTCTCTTTATCTCTCCTCCTCCCTTTGCGTTTAAATATCAGTGGCGCGCCTCCCTCTGAACCCTCGATTACGATAAGCGTTGCCCCCGACGCTCATCCGACGACGAATCGCGACGACCGAGAGATCGACGAGGAACTTGGCGTTCCCCTCGGACGTCGTCCGTAATTAATAATCTATGTTCCAATGCGCAGCCCTCAGCGTGTTCCGATCTACTTATCAAACGTGAGGATCGATGCCGGGAACCGAGAGGCTGCGGATAGTCCGCGGACTATTTCCGTGCGCTTTGAGGAGGCAGAATGCGCCCGTAGAATGCGGAGTGTTCGGGTTATTCGAGGGCTCCGCGACTCGTAAGATGCGTGTTTGGATCTCATCGATAGATGTTGAGGCCGTTCCACGTGACAGCTGTTTCATCGCCGGTGGAGTCTCGCGAAAATCGCTCGTTTCGTTTTTATTTCTTTTTTTCTCGTCTTCTTCTTTCCCTCCGGGCATCTCGCGTGCGACTTTTCTCCGCGCTTCTCATCTCAGCGGAAGAGCGGAAGGCCGAAGAGAAAGCTCGCGAGTGTATCGCAGAGCGCGCGCGCGCGCGTCCGCCGAAAATAGGAACGGACAACGACGTGTTAAGGGCTTGAAATATCCTCGGATTGGGAAAGCGTGCGATTGTTCTTTGCAGGAAGAGCCACGCGCCGGACGTGCGGGTGCAGCTGGACGTCTTCGACGATCAACGGGAAACCGACGAGGAGCTCACTAATCACGGGCCACCCGGGATCGACCTCTCCTCCCACGTGGACGTCTTCTACGCCATCCTCGGCCAAGTAAGCGACCTCGCTTCAAAAAAATCCAAGTCTCCTGCGCGAACTTTACGCTCAAGGCATTTCCAGAATTAAGGAATTAAGTGAGGGTTCATATTGAACAAGGAGATAATGAAAAATAACGTGGATTTCGTCATTTTTGCGCGGAAAGATCTCAGTTGCTACAACATCGCTGCAACTGAATAGAAACCAGATGAAAGCTCAGCGGCAAGAAATGTAATCTCTGTTACCGCGACTGAAAACATTCGTGTGGACAGTTTCGGGTCGTTTTTCATTCTGAATATTCATATGGACATTCTCTTGCAGCTGTGTTGAAACTTGGTTTAGGCAATTGAAGAGTAATTGATTGACGTAAGTAGACAGAGAAGATTTCTTTAGATTTCATAAAATTTCTTTAATTGAAACTCATTGTCTCTTGGAATAGAACATGTAAACGAATCTTTGATTTAACAAATTTTCAACAAAATTGTTTAGCTTCTCGAACAATAAATACTTGATGTCTTAATACTTTATGTGTAAAATAATATTTGATATTAAATTATATTGTTTATATTAAACACTAAATCCAAAGTATACCAAATCCAAAGAAATCTTTTTCTCTGTGTAGAACCTCTTACAGGAATATTTCTGTGATTTATCGTCTGGTCCCCAGGCAACGGAAAATTTACACATCATTTACACCAACGGATTTGGTTTTATCCGTATGATAGAGAAGAAGAATCGGCTTAATAATTTCCTAAGAATTTCCAGTCACAGGAACCGTTTATTTGTTCACTGGTAATCTTTATTCTTCGCCACGATGCTCGGCAAATATCTTCGACATAGGCGTCCATACGTGAGTTCGTCTTTAACGAAGGCCTCCTCCGAGAATGAATTCGGTTTCGTTCGAAGCGAGTGGAGTACATCGCGTCGCGTTGTTAGCCGCTCACTCGTTAAACCGCCAGTGTCAACCAGTCAATCTCCATCTCGGCGCTATTCTAAGCACCGCTACGGACAGGCATGAATAAAGAACGTCGGTTCGTGAGACGTGTGACGAAATGCAGCGTACTCTCAGGTTGCAGACACTCCGCAGGAGATACCGTTCCTGAGTGTCCTGCAGCATCTGCTGCGACTCGACCCAAAGGACGCCGCCAGCGATCTGGCATGGGACACCGCGGAGACTCTGGTGCACCGCGCCACGTTGCTCGAGAGCCGCGAGGACGCGACCAAGTTGCTGAGGTCGCCTAGTCTTCAGGTGAGTGCCCCGCTTCACCCTTCACTCAGTCGCAATTTCACAATTTTTCTTTGGCGGAGAAAGAGAGAGAGAGAGAGAGAGAAGTCATTATTTATATATTCAGAAAGAAATTAGTATATGATAGATATTCTCATGTATAAACAAGAATATTATAATCCTCTTAGAAAACGTTTAGTCTTGATCTGATGCACAATCTGTTGCACTGATTCAAGATTAAAAACTTTTAATAATATTACAATATTCTTGCTTATATATAAAAATATCTATCACTGATTTGTGAGACTTTCTTTCTGTGTGACGACTTTTCAGTCCTCAACTTATCTTTATAGTTAAACCTGAAATTAACATTCTGCTAAAGTAAGGTCCACTTCAAACTGATCGAAGATATGGTTTTAAAGTTTATGAAAAACCCATTCTTTTCTCCATTTTTCGCTGATTCTTTTGGTTCTTATCTTCCTTACGAAAAAAACAAACGGCAGATTTTGACGGGAAACCTCGCTTTTCTAATCGCTTGTATCTCGGAAACTCTTGATATCTCGTCATTTCCGCAGGGGAAAAATTATGAAATTCTCATGAAAAATAATGCTATGTAAACAACAGTCGCAAAACAATTTATATTTTGTATAATTGTCTTTTTGTACAATTGTCGATTGAAAATGATGATGAATTTTGTATGGTCGAAAAATGGTATCGCGCGTCGAGCTCGCGAACGAGAAGCCGAGGGAGGGAAGCGATCGAGGCGCGAATCGAAAGTCCGTCGTCTCCTCGTGAAATACTGTCGTTGCGCTTCCTTACGCAACGTATCGCGCTAAACGCTTCTAGGAATGATCATTGTGACACGGTGAAGGTGGGTCGGGACGATCATTCAGACGCAGTGCCTCTTCCCCCAGTATGAGCCGCTGATGAATTTATCCGCCGTGACACTGTTTTTTTTTCTTCTTTCCGTCTCTCTTTTCGAACTTTCGCCGACTATACAATGAGGTGGGTATCGCGGGGGAGATCGCAGCGGCTGTGGTTACATCAGATCCCGATCGTCGAAAATTTCTCGACTACTCGCGAGTACTCGCGTAGGGGAGGGGGAAGACCGTCAATGTCAACCGCGCTAACGCGAACTAATGTAACACTCGGGGCGCCGCGTCCCGCCGCCACCGGTGGGTACTTTTACTTTCTGCCGTACTTGACCGAAAGACGCGAGTCCATAAAAGAAGAAACCCGTACCACGCTTCATGTCGATGAATCACGAAGCCGTGCATTTACACTCGCGGACTTAGCCGTTCCTTCCATAAACCGCGCAAAGAGATATATGATCTTGCGCGGCGAAGAACGAGACTTATCTCCAAATTTAAGTTGAAGCACCTTGAAATGAGGTGAAAACCTCCCGTCATCTCTTTATCTCGCTGAACTCGTTCTTGCGAAAAGGTCTTTCTCTTTTATCGCTCGTTATCCAAAAAGAAGCGTCCGCACAGAAGCGTTAATTATTGATACCAAGAGCCATCTCGTTTCGAAAAGTGATGCGAGTCCATTATTATCCGTTTTTGCTTTTTTTATTTTCATAATGATCTGCAAACACAACAACTGAATTATCGATTTCTTTACGAAATTGGATTTACATCACTTCCAATCGAAGAGATAGGGGAGGCCCGAGACAAATTGGCTAAACCGGTAAGTTGGCTAATCAATTATTTCCGTTATTTTCTAACAGATTATGGAATCGAGCAAGCAGAGATTTCAAACGTGTCAATGATGATCATGAAATTTCTACTTGCTCGATTCTGTAACCTGTTAGAAAACAACAGGAATAATCGGTTAGCCAATTTGCCCCGGCCTCTCCTATTATCAGGAGAGAATAGCAAGACGAAATAACATTTTTTGATGATTAAAGAAGCTTCTGTACATGGCTATTTTGAATAATTAATAACTTAAAATTTTACACGGTTGCTTGAAAAATAGTAGGGAACTTTTTTGTTCACATTGACTAACTACATTCACTAAACTATAAGTATATAACGGATGTCTCATTTAACGACAGACATCTGGATATGCGTTCGGCGTGTCGGTATTTGTGTCTCGGAAGTTTTTCTGAGAGAAAAATTGACGAGAAACCGATCTCGTTCGAAAAGCTTGCTTTATCGACAAAACTATCGTTATTATAAACATTTTTAAACGTTGTTGAAATTAAAATACGAAGTAAGCTACGCGTATTTTTGATATTTTTTCAGACGAATCTATGCTGCCACTGCCGCGGCGCCGACCAGACGTGCGGAACGTCGCGCAAAGCGTCGCTGCCGGCGAGCAATCCGACGCCACCCCTGCCGCCACCGCCGCCACCCCCGGCGGCACCGACTCCGCCGACACCCCCGAACATCGGCTTTGTCTTGCCGCCCCCGCCTCCGCCGCCGCTCTTCGCCAACATCGTCACCGCTGATGCCGCGATGGAGCCTCCGATGCCGCCACCTCTGCGTGTACCTCCGGTCGCACGCGCGCCTACCCCTGAGCCGCCCAGCAATCATGCCAGACTGCTGCCGCAGCAAGAGATTCCCACCCCCAAAACGAAGATGAAGACCATCAACTGGAACAAGATACCGAATCACAAGGTGCACAAGATTGAGGGAAAAACTCGTGCCGATGAATAAAACCGGCGCGATCCTTTCCATTCTAAAGGGAAGGATTCAGTGAAAAGATATTAATAAGAAACAGCAAAGAAATTCTACGTCGATGCGACAATACTCTTTGTCGAATTATAATTATCCCGGTAGCATAATAACGTAAAAATCAGTTCGAAATTTGTCGGAAAAGATGTTAAAACTTGCGATCGTTAGGTGATCGGCAAACGCAATATCTGGTCCCTGGTGGCGAATGAGCATCAGAACTCTCCGATGGCAGACTTGGACTGGGCCGAGATGGAGGGCCTGTTCTGCCAGCAAGCACCGCCGATGGTACCGCCGACGACCTGTGCCTCCTCGTATGGCATCGGCGTCGACACGGAGCGACGTCGCCGGGAACCGACGGAGGTAACTTTGCCGAATGTTACCTCGCGATATTTTTCCAGTTATACAAGTCGTTTATTTTGAAAATGACATGTCCAAAATTTGAAAACCAATAGTAAGTCCAAATATTGGAGAAAAGTCAATAATTTCATTGGCTGGGATTGCAAATTAATGTGGAAAGAAAATGAGAACGAGGGAAATGAGAAAAAAATTGTCTTAATCATTCCTTTCTTGTACGTATATGGTATCTTTAAAATTGTTTTATTTCTTTTTCTCTTCCAGATTGCGTTACTCGATGGGAAAAGAAGCCTGAACGTGAACATCTTCCTGAAGCAATTTCGGAGGTACGATAAACGCAATACGAAAAATCGCAGAATTACAACTTCCGCTCACGCACCTTTGTATATTTCAACAGTTCAAACGAGGATATAATCCAGTTGATCAAAGACGGCGGTCACGACGACATCGGCGTCGAGAAGCTGCGCGGTCTCTTGAAGATCCTGCCGGAGGTGGACGAGCTCGAGATGCTGAAGAGCTTCGACGGCGACAAGTCGAAGCTCGGTAACGCCGAAAAGTTCTTCCTGCAGCTCATCCAAGTGCCGAAGTAAGTGTATCGAATGATTCGACGACTCGCTCCAACGAGATACAGCGAGAACGAGCTAATCGCGATCGGCAATTGCAGTTACAAGCTGCGCATCGAGTGCATGTTACTGAAGGAGGAGTTTGCCGCGAACATGAGCTACTTGGAGCCGAGCATCAACTCGATGATTCTCGCCGGCGAGGACCTCATGACGAACAAACCCCTGCAGGAGGTGCTGTACATGGTCTTGGTCGCCGGGAACTTTCTCAATTCTGTACGTAATTCGGAGAAGGGACATTATTTTATTCACATGTTGACCGTCAACGTTGATTTTCAACGATTACGTCTCAAAGCTTAATCAAAGTGCGAACGAATAAAGATAAACGATAAACAAATGTCATTCACGATGCGTTTATCTATGAGCTCGTTTTTCATTGGATTTTTATTAAAGATCAGTTTAATTTATTACGTGCAATTAGTTACGTTTTAAACGTAAATTAATGAGACGTGACGGTATCACCTGATACAGTGATACGCGTGGCAGTCAACGTGTTAACTTTGACGGCAAATTTTGGCGACCAACTCGAGCACCCGAGAACCGATCGGCGGTCATATTTTCGCAGGGCGGTTACGCTGGCAATGCGGCGGGCGTGAAGCTGTCTTCGCTACAGAAGCTCACCGAGATTCGAGCGAACAAGCCAGGGATGAATTTGATACATTACGTGGCACTGGTAAAAACATCAGTCAATTTTTGCTAATTACATATATGCATACGTATCAATAATTTATACGTGTGTAATTTTGTAAAAATTATATGGATGGTATTCGTGCATTTTAGCAAGCCGAGAGGAAACGGAAGGATCTGTTAAGTTTTGCGAAGAATATGACTGCCTTAGAAGCAGCGACAAAGTAAGAAGGAGGAAAGAATCATTTTATACAGTCGTAATTATTGCAAAACACCATTGTTCATAGCACTCGTCAATTTTTATCCTGCTCCAGAACGACGATCGAACAATTAACCAACGAATTCAATAGCTTGGACACGAAGATCAAGAAGATCAAGAGTCAGATCCAGCTCTCTTCGACCGAAAGCGATATTCAGGAGCAGATGGCACAGTTTCTTCAGGTGATGAATATCAGATATAGCGCGAGTAAAAAAAGCAACGAATTAATGTAATCAAAAATATTTTTTAAACTGTAGAAATTAATTAATTCTCAATCCTACATTTTCCTTTTCTTATGAAGACACGTTTCCGTTAAAACTTTTCTTACAATAATTACAAATACGAATAAATGAAGACGCATGAAAATAAGAGGTCGAAATTCTTATTGAAAAGCAATTAAAATAAAACTGAAAAAAAATTTTTTAAACAAGATAGATAGAATAAAAATAAATTTTTATTGAAAATCCACAGATGGCCGAGCAAGAAATGGCGCAGTTGAAGAGGGACATGGAGGAGCTCGAGGGAGTGAGACGATCGCTCGCGGAATTCTTCTGCGAGGACACGAACACGTTCAAGATCGAAGAATGTTTCAAGGTGTTCCATCAGTTTTGCCAGAAGTTCAACCAGGCTGTCGCGGAGAACGAGAGGCGGCGTATCCAGGAAGAGCAGGTCCTAGTACGTCGCAAACAGCGCGAGGAGCAGTTGCTGGCGAGAAAACGACTGCGTGAGCTTCTCATTAGAATATATACGGTCCTTGTGACAATTGCAAAAATAACTTCTCAGTTTCATAAAAACACGACTTATTTCTTTCTTACTCCTTTTTTTATTATCCTACCTCGATAAACGTTTTAAATTTATGCTCATTGAATGCGCAGTAAACAATCAAGCGGAGACACCGGGCTCGGAATCGGAATGCAACCTGATGGACTACGGACTTTTCGATCTCCATACCGGTTTACCTCAGCGAACTTACGGCCGCAGCGAGGCTAAGGTGAATTTTGATTCTATTCTATTTCATATCTATTTTAGCAGTTAATCAATTATATCAGTTATTTATTTGAACCCTTAGAATATAACCAAGATTTCCATTGGACTTAATCTTAGTTTCTAAGTTTCTTTTTAACACTTTCACTTATTTGTACGAATTGATATTTTATGAATTTAATTTTTTTCTTTTAAAAGTCTTTCTGAGACCGATTAATTAATTTTTAAAAGTAAAATTCTTTAATTTAATTGATATCATAATGTGTTTAACCTGGGACAAATTTTATGATATTTACAGCATGAGAACAAATTTTCGTTACAATATTTAGCTCAGAAAGTAATCAGATATTGTCAGATAAAATACCAATGAACATTTCAACGTTATTTGCAGATGAAAAGATTGCAGAATGGCGGCGTCACGTCGGACGAGGACGTCTCTGTCACAGGATCGCCGAGTATCCGACGTCGTTTAGGATCCTGCTCCGGCGGTCCCGATCAACAATCTACCAAAGAAGACACGTACTCGCCAGGTATCGTGTTGCAATTTATATTACATTCGCTACAAGAAGCCGATCAAACATATATTCCACGTTCATCGTTTGTATCATTCGACAGATATCACGCCTAACGGCACGCTTCGCCGACGCAGGAGCAGGATACCCTGCGAGGACGATGACGGAAATTTAATGGACTTCTTGCGCACCTCCGGCCAAGATAACACGCGGGAAAGGAAGTCGTGGGGAAGTTTAGGTATTTGCACTTCGAGTTAATCTCACTTCAACGAATAATCAATATAATCATCCGGCTATGCACCGTTGAATCGACCTAGTCGACGAGTCCATTTAATTATTCGAATTTAAAATCAAATTTAATTATTCCTCTGATATTGTCGCAGACCGATCGTGGGCGCGGAGAGCTCGCGGACAGTCACGAAGAGGGGATCTTCTGAACGCCGATTTCTCGGGCGACCGGGAACGACCGAGCTCGCCGTCTCCTCTCGCGGAGAGCAAGCCGTTTCTACAGGAGGAGGAAGTTAAACCGACCGGGTAGGTCAACGTTAATGTGACTTTTACGTTGAAGAAGCGGCGTGACTGACTCGACTGACTCGTATTTCGACAATTAGGAAAGCGTGGCGACAAAAGATCGAGGCGTGGCTGTCGGAGAACGAGAAGGAGGATCGTGCGGGCGAGCAGCTTCAGAGAAAAGCGAAGCAGTTGCACCAGGCGAACCGACGGTCCTTCGAAGACTCAGGTGAGAGAAATTTATTCTCTGGCATTCATCTCAAGAAGAATGAGTGCCGACTCTAAAGCAAGACGTTTCGATCGCAGAAAGCGAAGGCAAGAGCTGCGCGACGAACACCTTGGCGGAAGACCAGTCCATACACGAGGGATTCTCCGAAGTTTACGACTGGCGGCCGTCCGTCGAGAAGACCGACGTGATGCGCACAATGGAAGCCATCGAAGGTATGTGCGCTTCGTTTTCTGATTATTTACATCAAAAGTTTGATCGTTGCCGAAGTAGCTTAGCGCTAATGACAACATGATTCTTTTTCTTTGCGCAGTACGACATTTTAAAACATTTTATTTTTCATTTTATTTTATTCTATTTTTTATTTATTCAAATTACTTGGATTTACCGCAAATAAATATTAAACACATATTTAATTTTACTTAGATTTGATTACTTTTCAATTTTATTTAAATTTTATTATTTTATTTTATTTTATTTTATTTTATTTTACAATTAATTTATTTTTAAATCTAGTAGTAAGTTTACGGACGGGATTAAGTTCGTTCCAAATGACGAACTTGAGAGACGCCAAAGAGAGACTTGATAGAATCATTAAGACTAACTACGTTCTTCTTCTTATCTAGAAGCCCAACCACTCTCGTCCCAGGACAAGTCGCCCTGGCGAAAGTCGAGCTTAAACGTACCAAATAGTATGGAAGAGACTGATCCACGTTATTCCCGTAGACTTAGGTCCAGGCTCAGCACCGAGAACGCTCTCGTCCCGAGCACACTGCAGGTATGTCAGAGAATTGGAAAACGATTTTTAACCTTATCATTTCCTCATTCGAGACACTGTACTGCATGCAACTCTTTCATTCTTTTAAATCCTTCAACGATAAGTATAAATGCTTAACTCTTCGCGTGATTCGTGGGTAATTTGGGAAATACTAAAAAATTTGAATTAACTGTAAAATTTGATTAAATTAAAGGTGAAAATTTCCGTAGAACGAGACTATATATTTGTAGTTTTCAGTAATTAGTTTTCATTCTTTCAACGAAATTGATCTAACATATTTCAATGATATAGAGTTATCTATTAATTCTTATCACGACATATTCGCAGGCTATCAGAGAGGAAGACAGAAAGAAGAACAAGATCACTGACACGATCAACTCGGACACGCAGGACGAGCTGACGATCTACCTCCGACAACCTTACACCGGGTCGCAAGCACCGGCGACGCGGCGCTTCTCGAAGCTCGGCAAGAAGCCCACCGACGAGGAGAGAATCAGCGATAAAATCGAAATCGATTCGGACAACATCGAGACGCCGCCGGCGACTAGACGGTTGTTCAGTCCGCCGAAGGATGTAAAGCCCGTGGAGAAGGAGCCCTGTAAGCGAGAACGTTGCAGTAGTTCCCTCCAGAGAGAGACGAAGACTGCGATCCTGAAGCCCGTCGGTTCCAGCACGGATCTCGGTAACGGTGAGTGAAAGCGAAGTCTACAATACAAACTGAGATACCATCTTGCGTCGACAGATGGATTTCCTATTGAGAGAATTGTATCTGACGATTATTCCGTAGGCTCACCGTAATCCCCTCAATTCTATCGCTATTCTACATTTATTATTTTTACATTCAGATGCCGAAGATCGAGTCGAGGAAGACCCAGCTTACCTTTTTATCGTCGTATCTTTTTACAATTTCTAATGTATTTTTGTCGAAGAAGACAGGCGCGAATCCATACAGAAAATTCATATCGAATCCCACGGTTATCCCTGGGGATTTGCACTAAAAACCCAGATCCTAGATAGGAATCTATATAGATTCTATGTTGTTCTAACTTTTGTCATCCGCCGATGAAAAAATTGAATTCACAGGATAATTCACGAGATTTTCGTGAATGGTAGAAAGACTCCCCGAAGAAACTATAAAGATCGACGGCAATATAATTTCTTATTATTACTGGTACAGTTATTTCTGTCTTTAGGCAACTTCGACAGGTACTCAGCGACGCGGCGAACCCGCAGGTACAAGAAGAGCCAGGATCCTGGGGACAAGTCGGACGCGTCCAATCCCGAGCTGGTGTACGAGGAGAAGCCGGCGCAACGGCCCAGCACGTTGGCTCTGAACGACAACGAGGTGAACAAAGCGAACAACGACGAAGAGGAGGAGGAGGAGGAGGACGGTATGTTGCGCGTCTGGCAAGACAAGTTGAAGCGACGTGGCGACACGTCGTCGTGCGACATCGACGCCGCGCTGGCGGAGATCGCGCGCTCCGGTGAGGACCTCCAGCGTCTGTCACGTTCGACCACCGGCCACAGGAGTTCGCGGCTGCCGGTCAGCCATCCGCCACCGCCGGTGGTGGCGGTGACCAATACCGTGTTAAGCCCGGTCATGCAGGAGTCGCGACCTCGTGAACCGGTCACGGTGCTCGCCGAGCGGGCGGTGACGAGTCGGGAACGTCATCGCAGCATGATCGACCCGAGCCAGGTGAAGGAGGCGGTTCGTCTGACCAGCAGCCCTCCCGTCGTCCAGGTGAACCAACAGCTGCCGGACACCTTCCAAAGAAACGAGAGTTCCCCGCATGATCCCCGCAAGCAGGATCAAACGCGAGCGCGGGACAACAACGCTCCGATCGCGGTCCCGGACGAAGAGGAACGCGCGAACCTGGGTTTGAAGAGCAGCCGCTTGGCATCTCGGAAGGATAACATGGTCGTTCTTCAGGCGGACGATTCTCGCGACCGGTAGGTGCATTAGAAGAGAAGGTTTCAAACGTAGGAAGAATTTGAATCGAGCCAGATAAAAATTAATTTCGGGGCTTGCGTGTGGCGAGTCAACTGCCTGGATTCTTTGAATTTTGTTAATGCGATCTTCTGAAATATTTGAATATTGAATATTGAAATATCTGACAATTGAGAATCGGTCGATTCTGAAAAATATTTTGTTATTACGATTTTCCGAATATTTTTACTTAATTCTTATAATCCTCGGAAATATTAGAAAACGACTTGATTCGACTTTTAATCAAATCGACTCGATTCCACCTTCCGCAGAGGAATTTACGTAACTCTGGGAGATCCGATTCGTTTTCAGCGTGCTCGTGACGCGACAGAGCTCCGTGTACCGCGGCTCCCGGTACATCCCCGACATAAGCGTCACGTCCTCGGCGTCACCGTGCGGCAAAGGCAGGGATCAGGAGCTGAACGACGAAGGTTTCGAAGAGACTCAGAGCCTGGTGTCGGAGACTCTGAGCCAGGAGACGTCCTCCGGTAACTATGAGACCGACACGCACGACTCGACGCGGTGCTCGCCGGCCGAGCTGGGTTACGCCGGTGAGAAACGCCGCCGTCGTGAGGACGACGACGACGACGACCTGGACGGCCGACGACGCTCGTCCGTCGGCGGCAAGCTTCCGAAATCGCGGACGGACAAGAGCGCGTCGCGGGCCGTCCCCGCGGAGAAGTCCAGCTTCCTGCCGAAACGTACGGCGAGCGGTGGCGCGAAGCGCGAGACCGCGTTGAGGAAGAGCGAGTCCCTCCGAGAGAAGAGGACTGTGAGCAACGTGCCGAGCAAACCCGCGTCCACCACCCGGAACGAGGTGGAACGCTCGGGCTCGCGCAGCAGCCTGCGCAGCTCGCGGAGCTCCCTGAACAGCGCGACGTCCGTGAACACGGTGCGCAACCTGGCGTCCAGCCAGCACGCGCATTTACGCAGCTACACCTCGGCCATCCGCGCGCTCACCAACGACCTGAGGAAGAGCCCGTCGAGCAGCCCGTTGCCGCCGAAGGACGCCGACAAAAGGCGGCCGGGCCAGCCGCGAACTACAGTCAGCAGGATACCCGCCAGCAGGAGCAGCAGCAGCGGCAGCAGTGTCGGCCCGGCGGCGAAAACCCTGCGGAAGACGCCTACGGTGAGTAGTGTGCTTCTTCTCAAGCTGGTTGTTGTACGGATGATACACGGAGAGAAATATCATTCCACCGGTGGGAAAAGCAAATACTCAGTTTGCTTCCTTTCTCTTATGCAAGCTTGGGCAATAATTAATGGACTCGGTTAAGTTGAAAAGTTAAAATCTTCTAACTTAAACAATTTTAAATAAGTCAATTTCCAAGACGAAATCCACTCTTTCGCGGCGCATTCTCTCACCGACCATCGAAAATAGTTTCCCCGGGGAAAATCTTTCCTCTCGCCGAGAAGAGATCTCAAGTTTCGACGGACGTTTCTCAAGCGAGACACGGGAAGGAATAACACGCTTTTCAGAATAGCCGTGCGGTAAAACGCCTTTAGAATTTCATTCAAGGCCTCTCATGAGACACATTGGCCACACAGGTGATGCCCGACGTGTCGAAGGTCACGAAGGGTCGGCCAATCGCCTCGCGCAGCAGCAGCAGCGGCAGCAGCGTCGGCCAGCAGTCGATCGTGAACGGTCGACCGGTCGGCGACAAGACGTCCGTCACGAAGAGCAAGCTGGTGCAGCCGCGAGCTGCCGGCGCCAAGAGCCACAGCTTTATGCGGCCTACGGCCGCCAGCGTCAACAAGGGTTCCATACCGAACCTGCCCAAGAGCATCAAAGCTATGGTCAAGTGATATCCCTTCTTTCGTCCGGGGGAAACTTGTCATCTTGTCGTTCATCGCGACGCCGTCGAGAGATCCCAGTCGACTCGGCTTAGCAATTACAACGTTCGACAAATAACGAGATCACATAGAACGAAATCAGCGGGTCTCCTCGACGATCTCGTAGCCAATATCAAAATCCTGCCCAGTAAGCAAGAAACATTAAATCAATTTCCCGAAACATTGATTTTATGCGAATTTTATAAGCACATTTCGACATAATATTTTATGTGTTTTTTAATTGTTATTTGATGATATAGTACTCTTAAATACGAAAATCATAGTGTATTATTATTTTTCATGTTGTTACAAATATCGTTAACAGTGACGTTGTACACAACATAAAGAACTACATATTTGAAAATATTACATGTTATAAAATATCATTGTTGTAATAACGTAGTGTTGATGATTTCTCGCTTACTGGATAAGAACGACGATCGGTTGGGCGGACAGCCGATCGAGAGTTAGCGTTATCGCTATATTAGCCCGCAAAATTAGATAACGAATTATCAATTATTTTAGTACATATACAATCGTCCCTTCGCAGCGCCGAGGGACAAAATAAGCAGAGACCATATTCCTCTGATACGCGCACTACCAACACACACACACACACGCACACGCACATACATACACACATGTACACGTACAAACACAAAGCACACACGCACCAAACAATGCAAGTTCTCAGACCAAGGGAAAGTAATAATCAAATAATCAAATCTATTCGCAGCTTTACGCGACGTCCATGTTGTGACCAAGGAAAACCACGAAGGAGCGCCCCCGATCTTTACGTTTCGCGCCAACCAAATTCCGGGGGTTGGCCTCCTTTCCGGTATACCCTAGAGTATATATATATTTAAAGCATACTGTGTAACATACTCGACTAATGTGCATGTACGATATACGTATTATATAATTCTTACCGTTAACAAGATATAATTGTACCGTAGGATATACGTCCGACGCAATAAATTAACAAGTCACGATAATACAAAGTGATTGTGGAACCAAGAACCTCAATTTGTATCAGTGAGAAAAGGATAAGTCCCTCCGGCAGTGCTTTTACCGAAAGGGTGACTTCGTAGTAACTTACAAATGCAAACAACATAAAACATGGTGAAATCGGTTCTTTTCATTTGTGGCAGGCTGCAAATGAAACCTATGAATCGAAATCTCGCGATCGACTCGAATTTCACGGAGAGTGAAAAATTGTGCGTCAACATAATATGTTGAATTGACACATAGGTATGTTAAAAATTTGATACAAAAACAAGGACCGATTTCAACACAAGTACGAAATGTTTCATAATGTGCGGAAGGAGGAGAGAAGGGAAAGGTGAGGTTCTCTCGTGGAATAATCGTGAATCGTAGAATAATGCGCGTTGATTCGCAATGCATACTTCCTCATACTTTATTCATTATATTCAACAAGAAATATCTACATACATTTTATGTACATGGATGTTGCATTAACGATCCGTTTTCAAATTGTATGAAAAAAAACCGCGCTTCGACGGGGGGTTGTTTCGAATGATGAGATCACATGTCGGAGGTACGGATTCAGCCTCCGGCGCTTTCTTAAGTAGCATATTAATCCCAGAAGGAAGCGACGTCTTCCCTCGATAGTCAACGTGTGTGTATGTGTGTGTGTGTGTGTGAGTGTGTGTGTGTGTGTGTGTGTGTGTGTGTGTGTGTAGCGGTTACAAATCCTCGCGTACTAATCATTTTTTCTTCTTCTTCTTGCGTACGTAGTAATGTAAATATAACGTTCGGCCACAGCTAGTCAATCGATGGGCCGCCGACCCGTCAATCGGCGACCCATCGGGGATCGTCTCACTCTCGCCGTGAACGGAGAATTCAGTTCTGCAGCTTGTGGAAATGAATAATTACAAAATGAATTGATTAGAATTAATATCTCGCGCGCGCTGCTCTCTCTCTCTCTCTCTCTCTGGAGAGAGTGTAATCTCGGAGTGGAACACCGGCTACCGCAAATGAAGAATTTACTCTTCCACGCGGGTTGACTCAGTCGTCCCAGTTACTGCTTTCGATTTGTTTGGCAGAGGAAACGTTCTCTCGAAAATCCGGAGCAGAACAGAAAATCCGGACGGATTGCCGATGAATGAACGTCGCAATTTCATTGCGTTACTTTCCATACAACGATCACGGGATCGATATTCTTCGTGTATCCGAGTGTTTTGATTACCGCACGATAATCGCAAAAAAATTCGTCGCGCTACACAGTGAAAAATTTCATGCCGATAACGATCGACTGGAATTTTTCCGTTATTTCAACGAGGTGAATATGTTAATTTTTTTAACACATATTTCCGCGCTCTTCAAGGTATTCCCCACGTTAAAGTAACGTAAAAAGTTTCAGTGATCTGAATCGTCTTTAACGCAAGACTTTTTACCGCGTACTTGAAATTTTTTCTTCTTCTCAATCACGCTCTCATTCGGCACTCTCTCGTCGCGCTACCTTTCGTACTTTCGTAATTAATATTGAATAGTTATCGTAGATAAAACTTAGTAGGGCTACTAAGACACCCGCGGGCGCGTTAAGGAATTAAACACCGCCGGCGCAATTTCGACCGACGCGCAGCGGCGGCTTCGACTGCACGCAGCGCATAAATGAAAAAGAAGAAAGAGAAAGAAAAAGAAAGAAACCCCCCCCCCCCGAAAATATGACTGATGAAAGAATTGACGATCGTGAGATGCGTGGCACACAGTGTAATACAGGGCATTGCAAGCAATGTGCGTCAATGTCTTAAAAGGTAAGGGAACCCAAATCGCTTACGCGCTTACAACTAAATATAAATATAATAACATTAGAGCACAATTAATGAGGAATACCCTCGACGGACGAACGAAGTTCCTTTCAACGAATTAAAAAATATTTCAAATAATACAAACGTAAAATAACTAACTCAGTTGAGAAATCAATCGGATGAAAAACAGCGCGCACGCACGCGCGCGCTCATTCAGACCGGAACTTGCGCGAGGAACGGCTCGCGGCCCGCCTGATTGACGATTTACCCAATCGTCGTACGCGGACGATCGCGAGATTAATAAATTCGGATTCGGATCAGTTCAGCTCTCGATCCCGGAAGCCGAACGACACGGGGCCCTGTGGCGCCAGGATAAATTCGAACAGCAGGTTGAGCTCCTCCCCGACGACGATCTCGAATTCCCGGACGATCTGAATAAAAATCGATGAGTGACATAGACGCGGACAATAAGCCGCGAATCCTTGGGAATTTCCTCAAAAAACCCTCAGGGTCCATTCAATCATTACGTTACACCACCAGGGGGAAAGGGGGGAAGGGAGACTATTAGCCTGATGATAGAGAGGGAAGGCTTTTACCGATGAAAATTATAAAATAAAATAATTCATTTGATATTGTGCGTAAAAATAACTTGTATCTTAGAAAAAGATAGTAATGCGTAGTTTAATAATTACTACTCACAATATAAGCTGCTTTTTCTTATTCTATGTGTCGATATGGGGGAGGGGGGAGGGGAAGGGGGCTAATTTTATATGTTACGTAATATTGAGAGGGGACAAACACTTTGTGACAAAGGGGAGAAAGGGAGGAGGAAAAGTAAAAAAATATCAAAATTTCGCGTAACGTAATTGTTGAATAGCCCATTAGAACTTCATCAATTCATGCCATGACTTCGACAATTTGCTTCGTTCTTTTTCCCCTATATTTTCGTTTCTTCATTATTATTTCGTTATACTCTGTGCGCGCGCATACCTTCGCTAGGATAAGCTGCAGTGCGAGATCCACAAATCGTTTTCCCGGACATATTCTTCTGCCGACGCCGAAAGGCGCTACCAGTAAAGGTGACATGGGCACCGTCGGTCTCAGCCATCTCTCTGGCTGGCATTTGGATGCATCTTTAAAATTCTCCTCGTTCATGCTCGCAATCCACGTGTGCAATAATACTACTGTCTGAAATCGCGAGAACGAATTGTACTCTATGTTCCTACAGTGCACGAGGCGCGTCCGTGGAGATTTAAAAGCAAATTAAAACTTACCCCGGGTTCGAGGCGATACTCTTTCAGTTCGACAGGCTCGTCTAGTATGCGGGCTATGCACGGTGCCGTCGGCATCATTCTGAAACACGCATCAATCTACGTAACGCAACACGTTCACGGATTTTTTATATTTTCGTGTCAATACGGAAAAAGAGGAATCTCCGAGTCCGTTTGTGTTTTTGATACGTCAAGTCATTTTCACGATTATCATAAATTTACGCAAAAAAATTCTGAAACGTGCATAAATCAAACATGCCTACGTAACATAATGCGTTCACGGATACTTCATATTTTTATGCCAAGACAAGAAGAAAGTATATGTTGTTTATTACTACAAATTTTTGAAAATTTATATTATCAATTAACGCGAAAACTCATGTTGTATCGAAGAGAGAGGAATCTCCAGAGTGCGTTTGTGTCTTTGACACGTAGCGAATCGTTTTCATGGTTTGTAAATTTAAGAAGAGAAACAACTGTACCGACGTGTGAAAAGATGGACGTACCTGTAAGATTCCATAATGCAAGCGCGCAAATACTTCGCCTTTCGTAAATCCTCCACCCTGATGTCGCAGCCAGGAGGCGCCAAAGACCGCACTTCCTCATAAAGAGTTGCTTGTACCTCGGGGTTCCTGCCAATCATGTCGAAAAGGAACACCAGCGTGTTGCCTAGCTGTAAAGGCGCAACGTGTGCGTGTCTTTAAACCGTCATAATCGCGCAAGTGACGAACGATAAAAGTCAGTTCAGTTGAAAATCCGAAAAAAATATCAAAAGATGCAACTATTATTTATCTAAATTATTTTAATTGTAATTTTATTACAAACATTTAATTTATTTAGAAACTAAATTTCATTCGTGGCCGCGTTTTCGAATCGGCTGCCCCGCGCAACAATATATTAAAGGCCTGCGAAAAAGTTCGTCGGATTTTTAGCCAGCTTTGTTTTGTTGATAATAACGAAACGATACAAGTGCCATCTGCATAAAAATATCTGCCACCTTTCGGGTAATTGTTTAATTTCGCGCCTATAAAGTCTTTCGAACCGTTGAAGCAATCGACAATCTGGCAAACTTTCATGAGCCTCTGATATGTTAAAAATACGATATGGTGTATTCCTTACTGTGTGTATTCCCGCCGCGATAAAGTCCACTATAGCAGCTTTCTTGTCCCTCATGTCGAGATCCTTGTGCCGTAAAATAGATAGGAACACCGCCTCGATGGAATCGTCTTGGGCGTCGTCCACTTTTTCCCTCATAGTCGTCTCGATGAACTCCGAGATGACGCTAAGTAGGAAGAAAGGAACAATGAAATAGTCGATTCTTCCTTAGCAGGAATGTCGAGAAGGATCGTCAATCATCGTGAACGCTTCCGACTTTGTTCGGTAATAAACATCTTTGTATACCAGGCGTCATGCCAAAGCTATCACACTCTGTTTTTCGAATGGAATTTGGTTCGAAAAAAATGTAGAGTGTGTGTAAGAAAAGTTGCGCTTATTGCATTGTTAAGGTATATACGTCTAATGTAACTGGCATCTAATTAATTAAATCACGCATTAAATTAAATCACAGATCCGTCGAAGAGAATGAACATCTCGAAGCTTTCGTTATCATTTTTCAAATTTGCAAACCGTTAGTCTCTCGATATTTTTTCTCAAAAAAAAAATCGCCTCCGAGTCGACCGAAGAGCTCGTAGACGAAAGACAATCCGGGACACCCTGTACAGTTGTCGAATCGGGCGGCGATTCAATTTATGTACGAGATGCCAATCGACCGTCTATCGCACCACCACACGTACTTGTATATAGTGTCCTCGCTCTCTATCAGTCGCCTGTACGAGGATGTCGGCATCAGCTTCCAAAACGGCAGACCGTAAAAGGCGTCACGCATGGCTGTGAAATGAACTCTGAGCGCCTCCGCTAATTTAGTTGTGAGCGTGCAGCTAGAATCCGGTTTAAGGAAGCCCAAATGACGTCCCAGGATCAAAGTACATGTGCCTATAAGCGGAGCGAGAAATTATCGCGTTATCGATGGCCGTCCGAGAATGATCGTAACCTTTGAACGTGAGGGTGTTAAAACTAATAGTACGTGCTCTCAGATGTATCTGCTAACATTATTGACGATTATTCAATCAATATTTCGATTTTCAACTACAGTTCTTCCCTTTAACATTTGAAACCGCCCCATATTTTGTTACACCCTTCCCCTAATTAGAGAATGTTGAGACTTTGCACGCTGACGTCACGAAAAAATGCGTTCCGGTGCCTAGGATTAACTAACAACAAAATTAATCAACAGTTATAACGTCTGGCTGTGAATCGTCCGACAATTCGTACACGGCGAAGCACAGAAAGGACAACTTACTTTCGAGACCCATTCGGTAAGCCATCTCCTCGAAGCCTCTCACGGTGGTGCCCGTTCTTCCTCTACGAATTAAATCGATGAAATCGTCGGTGACAGTATTGAGTGCCGGAAAGAAACTGAACACTGTACTGGCACCGGTGAGTTCAGGCGTTAAGGCTGCCCGAAGATTATGCCATGTCGTGCCTTGTCTGTCGGGATACCACTGATTAGTCGATCGTAATTCTCGTGTCCCTAAACGAATCGTATAGTTTCGCGGACTAACGGACGTATTTCCGGTTCAGCAGCTGAATAAAAATCTGTATCGAGACGAAGCTCTCAAGAAAGATGTCCTTCTTTTCCACACTTTTGTCATTTGCGAATTAAACGATCGAAGAGCTTTTCTCCCCGAGGAAAAAAAAATATATATATATATTATGAGTTTTATATGATTATATATAAGTAAATATATTAACATATAATTATATATTTTTATATATAGACATATTCAATATATTATATATGATAAATTTTTTCTCGAGTCTAGATCATTCTTAGTCTGCGTTTATGAAAAATAAACATTATCGGGGGAGAGGGGGGACAGAGTCATAAGATAATTCATGTTTAACATGTTCCGTGCCGCACTGTTTTTACGCGACTTTCAATTCACGCCGCGTTATCACGTCGTCGAAATCGGTACACGATGCGAAGCTTGATAAACGATATAAATAAACATGATAACAGAATATATATATATATATATACAAATGGGTGATAAGACAAATTATTTTACTGTACTTTGTCTCTTAATGACAAAAATATCAATTGACGTGTGATCAAATTCAGCGTGTATCGAAAAGAAACGGTACGCTTGGCACAGGACTTGTTAACATATATTTTATTAAAATGAAAATTGCAAATTACAAATACGTTGCAAAACTATGAAAAGAAAGATTCGCGAATCTTGATTTTTCTCATTTAATCTAAAGTCAAAACGCGTGATTCTGTTTCAGGTTTCCTAAAGCATTTCATCATACTTTGAAGCTCGAACATAAGACAAATGTATAAACTCCTCAACTTCCGACACAAACGCGAGGGTGTGTTTTATCTTTCTTATGAAATTATTAATGCGAAAAAATAGTTTTGATGGATGAAATCACCCCTTACATATGCAGAAATGGTTTTTGACTTCTTCTTTTCTTACATCTTAAAAACTATTCTAGATATCAAGAAATGTTTCATATAAAAGTTGTAGAATAAAAATATCTCTATTTAACAACGTTGGCAACATTTTGAAAAAAAATAATTTTTAAAAATTCGCCATATTAGATTCATTTGACGATTTTTTAAAATTTTGACTTCAGATTTGTAATCAGCGACCTTCAAAAAAACACGCATTAAAATTCGGCGAAATATGTTCAACAGAAAAATTTGTGCAACAAAGGGTCAAGCCGTCGTCATTAGCGAACGTTAGCGGCGCATAACACGCGTGCACGCGCGCGTGATATTCCTCACGCGGTCAATACCGATAACACCTAATTAATACACTTGGTCAATTCGAGTGAAATCAACGTGACGATCAGCACCGTTGACCCATCGGATTCGGTACCGCGAATATAACGCGCGGATATAACGCCAGTTCGGAGTTACACGAACCGAAATTACACGCAACCTTAAACTTGACCCCGATACGGCGCTGCAACGTAACCGCGCCGGCTGAGAGAGAGAAGGAGCGCGGGCACGCGAGCACTCGTGCGACTAACCGGCTAACCAGCTTTACTCACTCATTGACAATGCCGTAGTTGGTGTAGCGATCGCGTCGGGTTCTCCGGTAGTGGCATATGATTTCCTGCGGTGGACGAAGCGGATATTTCGAACTTCGCCGGAGAATGCTCTCGATGTCGGGACGGGAGAACAGGGATATCACGAGACGGTTCCACAATGCCTCCTCCTTGCATAACGCTCCATATCGCCGATTCAGATCTACTCTTGAATCAGTGATAACGAACCATGTTAAAATATCATATATACGCAGAGAATTTTTTTTTGAAGGTATAAACATTCATGAACCGACAAAGTATCAAGTCTAGTAAATTGTAATATCAGAGAGGAAGAGAGGAGAAAGAGAGAGAGAGAGAGAGTATGTCACATTGTTCAACAATAATTTTCTGCATGTACCGACGTAATAGATGAAGTTCCAATCGACGACGAGCTTATAGTAGTTAACCGCGATACGTTGGAGATTTCTCTTCGCAAATTGCCGAATTTGCCGCTTGACACTCGGGTCAAGTTGGTAGATCGACTCGAGAAAGACTCAATTTATTTTCTTCACGCATTCTCCAAACATGTTTGAGTGAATTTTCACTTGTTTCGAATGACATTTCACTCCGAGAAATTTACAGGGTGTGTGTTATATTTTTTTGCGCATCTTTCGATAATATTTATAATTGAACCGACCAATGTTTTTCTTTCGTTTCTTTTGCTTATTGTTTGTTATCATATCATAATACCAAGGAAAAAAAATTATCTCGGTTTTATCCTAAATAATTTCTACTGAATATCTTCGCCCCTTGCGAGTGTTGATCGCTTCGCTTTGGTAGCAACGAACTTCGGTGAGATAAATTTACGAGTTTACGCAACAATCGAGGCTCGCGATCGAGTTTACATCACACCTATCCGATGGAATTCAAACTAACTTTGCTTGTTATGTACTTTTAATCGACATGACATAAGCGCAGCATCTTTCAGAGCTCACAGTTTCTTCTTTCTTCCTTTTCCTCCCCGCCTTCTTTTCTCTCCTCTCCCTCCACACTCTCTCCTTTTCTTCTCTCTCTCTCTCTCTCTCACCCTCTCATAATTTTAGCAACTCACTGTGCTGATAAGATACCGTAGGTATCTTTGACCCTGACCCTCTAAAGATATATGCGGGTCCCGTTCGCACGGTTCAACGACGCGCGACTTTCTCTCTCTCTCTCTCTCTGTTCTTTGCTTTCTTAATTTTTTCATATCTTTGATTGATTATATTGAATTATGCATCTTTTATATAAACCATTCTATGTTAAAATGGAAAACCCCAACAATAACAAATCTATTTTACTTCTAAATATATCTATTCTACTCTATTCTCTCTCTTTTTCTCCCTCTTATTTCATATTTCGCAATATTATTTTAATTTAGATTGATTCAAGATTCCTTACAAGAAAGTACACTTCCTATCTTGCTTTATGTATGTATTATTCTATCTACTGACATTTCATCTTACATTCGAAAACATCCGTATTATCGAGCTAAAGCCTGCGAACGTTCATCAATACTAAGATCTGATTATTTATTTACTTATGTCTATATATCGTATTAGTACTTTTCATAAATTGTTTTTAATCGCAAACAATTAGAAACTGGAACTCGCTGTCTTCGGCATTTAAAAAGCTATCGATAACATCATTTAAACCAGCCAGCTATAGCTACTATTTCAAACTTCAGAGTGCAGGTGACCCCTCAGAATCAGGTTCTTGTTCTGCGTCTTTACTATTACATAATAATAAACTATTATCTACGATACTTCATTTATGTATATCATCTGCGATGCATCAACATTGCATATCGTCGATCAATTTGTGATACCTTAGTTGCACTTTTCTTACATTTTTCTTACATTTTCCTGCCTTTCCTGCGACGACTGCACCAAGAAACCTATTTAGTCGCATCAACAAAATTCAAATTTCTCAATGTGTCTGCATCTTTATCAAGTATTAATCTAAATGATCGCTCTTATAGGATTTATCCTAGAGCATAATAAAATTGATTTTACTCTATCCTTGTTTTCGTAAGACAAGCGCGTATAATCCGTTAATATAATTGTCAACATATCCTCGAGTCGAGCGGGAAGGAGAGGGGTCACGGCTGTTAATTAGCACATAATGAGCCATATTCACACGCGTCATCCCAGCCCCTTTACCCCCTTCCTCTTTCTTTTCTCTCATTATTATCTCTCATTCTCTTGTTCTTTTTCTCTCGCATTCGCCCCCTTCCTCTTATTCCCCGCAACGCAACCTTGAGATATCATTAGCACCGGTCGAGCCGAAGAGGCGCACAAAGAAAGCCTAACCGGCGCCTAACAATAAGGAGCGTCTTGCGCGATCGATAAGGGTGCGAAGGCCAAAGTCCTTACCTTTGTACGCTTCGTGAATCTTGTTCATACAGTAATTGCCGCAACGGTAGTAGATCCACTTGGTGCCCAAAATCGGTAGGGAAAGTGGGCCCGGCACGTCGCGCGCCGTCTTGAACTTCCTGCTCTTGTCGCGTGTATCTGTGAACAGATTTGAGCGTGCCGAAAAAGCTTCCAGGCGGAAAGCAAGGAAAGTGACTCGTCGACGGAGGTGACGATGGATTACCCAGGTGCAAAAGCTTCGTCGCTTCGACTTCTCTCGAATTTTTTCGAACAGGAGAAAAACGAGAGGTTTCTCCTCCCAGGCGATGAGAGTTTAAGGCTACTGCGACTACTTTGATTAACAAACGTTACGAAATCGTGGTGTAATCTCGTTCACGACCGTGTTCGACGAAGCTTTTGCGTCAGTCTAATGTCTCATCTTATCCTTTCGCGCGACAGCGCCGAAAACACGGAAAGCGAAGAAAGAAATCATTATCCAGAATAATTAAAGTATGCATTATCTGGAATAATTAACCCTCGAATAACAAGATTGGGTCGGACCCGACTATATTTTAATACTTACTTAAGAAGCCGTTGTATTTCAGATATTTTGCGATATATTTTATTTACTTTCAAATATCTTCTGACTTATTGTAAGAATAAAAAGTGCCTGGTCGAGAAAGTTAGTTAAAGAAACTAAAAAATGAATTTATTTCAGGTATATTTCAGGTATTTTACATATTTTGTGATATATCTCATTTATTTTTAAATATTTTCTAGTTGTAAGAATAAAAAGAGCCTAGTCGAAAAAAATTAATTGAAAAGCTAAAAACTGAAGCATTATATTTCAGGTATCTCATCTATTTTGATATATTTCATTTACTTTAAAATATTTTCTGACTTATTATTGTGAGAATAACAAGTGTCTAGTCGAAGAAATTAGTTGAAAAAACTAAAAAAATGCTTCTATCGGTCGGATCTGATCCATCTTGTTGCACATGCGACCGCATGAACCTTGTTATTCGAAGGTTAAATTGTCGCGGTGACGGTAAAGCGTTGAGCAACCGGTCGCTGTGAGAACAGGCGAGAAATAAAATAGAAAATCACAAGTTAAAAGACGCGACAGCGAGCATAGTTCTGCCGGTCGCAGAAGAGAGAGCACAACGATGAAACTTTCGGTCACGCGGAAGAAAGGAGAGAAACGGCAAGATCGACACACAGGCGCGAAATCGCGGGACACAGGAGGAGAGAATCGCGTCTCTACCACGGGCTTACCGTAATTGCCATTGTTGTTCCTGTTCCAAAACCACCAGGGCGGCCGGCAGCCAGTGGCCAACACCAGAATCGTGAGCAATATCGTCGCGATTGTTTCGAACCACGCTCCGGACAGCATCTTCCAATTGAAATCCTGTGCCGAGGGACGAGATAGTCGGTAAAGAAGCGGTGCGTGAACAGCGATCTTTCTCGCTCTTTCTCGCGATCGTGATCCGTCGCCGCCGCCGAACGTCGCGGATTCCGCGCGTGGCGCGGGAGCGCGAAGAATAATTCTCTCTTATCGTGATCGCGCAGTGAGCCGCCCGCCGCCTCGATTATCTCGTTACCGCGCGCGAAACACTTGTCTCCTCGCGCGCGAGCACGTCACCGTAGATATAGTACGGACGGCGCGTAAGTGAAACGTCGGGTGCGTAAACCCCGCTTCGCTTGAGCTCGTTTTGAATCATTATTTGGATACGTTTGCCGGCGACGAGCGCGCGCCGGCAAGAGGAGAAAGAATCTACCCCGTCCTGAGTTTCCACGTCTTCTCAGCGATTCCATCATGATTAACACGTTCGACTGGGGCTCGCAGGTGATTGGCGCTGTAATATACCGCCGCGTCTTCGTTGAAAAAGAATTATCATTATTATCTATTTATTTACAGGAGGATTCCCTTCGGTACGTCGATTACAAATAAAGATTCAGTACGTAATTTTAAAAAGTGAGAAAAGAGAAAATACAAAAATTTGCATTAAAGGAGATTATAAATTATTTTTTCTATACATCTACATTTATCTATTATCTGTATTCTACTTTTATTATGTATGGATCATATATTTATTTGTACTCTATTAAATATTATATATTTTATAATTTAAATTTTATACATTTAATTGTATTCCATTTAATACGTATGTGAAACTTTGTAAGTAAAAATTAAAAATTATTGAAACATTTAATTTACATATAAAACGCGCAATCAACAGCAAATATAACGAATGAAATATATAACCAATAAAAGCCTGAAACGAGAAAGAGTATCGATGAATAAATAATTTAAATAAATAATGTTATATATTGGTTGAATAAATGAACGAAATGTATATATTTGCCGAATTACAGAGATTATATATTCAAATTGTATTTATTACCGCGTATCTGGCCATTTAAACTTCAGTTGAATAATGAAATGGAAATTAATGTGGTAGTCGACGTGTTAATCTTTGCGACAGTGAAGAGCATCGGTCGATCGGATCGGCCGATTAGCTGCGTGGACGCTTCGCTCTTCGGGGTTTTCGTTTCCCGGCGAAATTCATTTTTTCTCCCGGTCATTTGATTCTAATACTCGACCCTCGCGAACAATACGCGCGCTCATTTGACGTGTTACACGACCGGTCGCGCTGGTGAACTTTGTACGCCGCTCGACCTCCAGACGGTGGTCTCGCTATTTTTCGTGCGAATCGCTGTTTCAGGAAATCGCGTAATCGGGTCGTTCATTAGGAATTTTCACGAGCGTGAGAAACTGGAGGGAAAGTTACCGGAAGTGCGATCTCTCGTGAACGGTTCTCGTCCAACGGACTGGAGGATTTGAATATTCGTATATTCGAATATTCGTATAATACACGAAAAAAAAAGTAGCCCCACAGCTAAAAACTAACTGCCACAACTAAAAACTAGCTTCCAGAGGTAAAAATTAGCTATTATAATATAATAAAACTGAGTTTAATTAATTTAGGTTAATTTTTTTTGTTTCTATACCTAGTTGGGCTGTTGATCTTCGATAATTTTGAAGCTTCAAAGCTTCGTTTTCAAAAGCTGTAATCTTCGATGTTGCGAAGCTCCAAAGAGTACAATCTTGCGAATGTTGTAGACTAACGTTTATATATATTTTACTCCGGGAATATTGAGAGATGTTGCAAATGAACTTTTGTAAATAAATGGATATATCAAATATTACATAGTTAGAAAATCTTACAATTCAGATGTTTCGAAGCTTTGATATTTTCGAATATCGAATAACAAACGCCGAATATTCGGAGATTCGTAATACGAGTGTCAAAGCCTTCGAAGGAAAACACTGGTCCTAGTTTTCAGCTCCCACTGCTAAGAAACTAGGCTTGGTAACTAAATTTTAGTTGTATCGTATGGACAGTTAATTCCTTTTTCCCATATACAGTACTCGATCAGTAATACCCACGGTAAGCTCTCTCTCTCTCACTCTCTCTCTCTCTCTCTTTCTTTCTCTCTATGATACGGCCGACAGAACGACAGGTGTTCGCTCCGCAATTCGCAGATCTCGCGCGGCCGACACTCGCTCGAGTCAATCACGGCCGACGAGGGTTTCTCGCGGCGGTTTCGAAGCGCGAGGATTCGACGGGGCACTCGCGTTTCGATTCAGCACTAGGACGCGGTGATGCGAGCCGGTGGTGGTGCGAGAGGAGCGAGGCTCGCGCATTTTCGCGACCGCCGGCTCTCACCGAAGATGGCGAAAAGAAAGAAAGAAAGACGGAAGAGGGACGGGAGGAGAAGGCGAGAGTGCGAAGTGGACGACGGTATAAAGGGCGAGAAAGCGGACAGCAGCAGCCGCGCGCTCGCGGATCTTCTCGCGAGCTGACTGAGTGCCCCAGTGTTATTTGCAGACCGCGATTCCTCTATTTGCAATTCACCGATAACGCGTGTTGCCCCGATGATCCCACTCTTTCTTCACCTCTCACACTCTCTTTCTCCCCCCCTCTCTCTCTCTCTCTCTCTCTGTCTTTTTCTTTCGCCTTCTCTCTCCCCCGCGCTGAGTCACCGGCTCGGTATCGGAGCTGTTACACGGATCGGGGAGAAAATAGTTAAACGATATCGCGATAACCGTGTAATTGCGGGCCGCGCGATGCCGTACAGTGAGTAACGAAGGGTGAAGGATCGAACGATCTGTATGTACGTACAGGGTGGGGCAATAACTTTGTTCACCTCGAGTATTTTCGCTAATTTCAGAGATAACACATTCTACAGAGCACAGGAATTTCGCTAAAAAAATATTGTGCACCAAGAAAAGCCAACCATACTGGAAGTAATAATAAGTGCTTCAGGCATTCGATAATTGCAATCTTGCATAAGCAATCTTACAGAAGCAAACGGGCATCGCTTCGAGCATCTCTTATGACGTAAGAATAATTTTTTTAATCCTTTATTTAATGCTAAATGATCTTGTACTATAAGTCGTTGGAATTGTTTGAACATTTGCTAATTCATTAAGGATAAAAAAATATAGCATGTCATAAAAAAAAATGGAGGCTTAAAATCTGCGAAACGCCTTCACTTAAAGAGAAATTATTATCAGCATACAATAACAGGTTGAAAATGTTATTATGAAACTTTTTTACCTGTTTTTGAAGAGAATACCTATCAATTTTTATATTGTTGAATATTAACCAAGGAATCATTCATTGCGACACATTGTAAATAATGAAGCAATATTCGAACACGCGCGTCTTTATCCTACAGATATCAATTATGCGTTAATAAAAGGAAAGCAGACATTTTGAATAATATTTATAACAGTATGCTCTAGTTATTCATTCGTTTAAAACACGATTTAAAACACGATTTAAATTGTTTGATTTGGGCTTACTTAATATAAACAATATAATTTAATATCAAATATTTTTTTGTTTGAGTGAAAATGTTGCTGCTTCAACATGAACCATGTTATTTGATAGGAAAAAAAAGAGTATTATTTAGAAAAAATAATATTCAGTTTTTAATTAAAAAAGTTGATTTCGCTATACATTAAGTATCGTTTCACTGAAACAAAAAAGTTCTTTAATATTTTGCCAATATAGAATGATACTTCTTTCAAATAATTTATTGCTTTTGTGACAACCAATGTAACGTTTGAACCAAAATATATAAGAAACATGTTATTTAATGTAAAGATATTGATTATTTTAAAAACCAAACCATCCTTTGTTGAATCAAACATTCGTTTGTCTGCTCTATTCCAAAAGACAAATATGTTTCAATCAAGGACATTTTATTAGATCCAAAGAAATCTTTTTCTCTGCGCATATCTCAGAAACTAAGCGTTTCAGGACATATATTTACTAAGACTTTTCCACATATTTTTCTTATTATATAGAATCTATCCTGTGAGTTTGCCGGTAAAGTTCAGATACACCCTGTACGTATGTGTATATATGTGTATGTATAACGCACGTTATCCGGCACTTGCGAGTGGATGCGCGGTGATTCGACGCAACGCGTAAAGTTCGCGTCGGTCGCGAAAACAATGTCCGGGGTATTATTCCACGGCTCGTGCTCGGAGAATGTGCCGTGGGACCGCGCCGAAAGCTCTCTCTCTCCCCTCGTCGACGAACGTTTCACGGTGAGTTTGACTCACGGAGAGAGAACGCTCGAGACATAGTAGACGCAGTCGGTAGCTCGGAAAAATAGAGAAATTCGCATGTCAGACAGGAAAACGCCGGAGGCGAGAGAGAGAAAGAGGCAGGCCGCCGCGGGCGCATTCCACGCCGCTTCTTGTAGCAGTTTCCGCGTACACGGGATACGTTCCGAACCTCTTGACCGGCTACATTGTTCGTTCATTAATGACGTTAATTAAGCACACCGCTATGTAAGTATCGTCTCGTGCCGGCACGGTATCTCGTAAGCACGAGACTTACCTGCCGACGATGGGAGTCTTCAGGAACGGTGTCTCCCGAAGAACGTAGCTGCTGAGTGCGTGCGTGCGTGTGTGTGTGTGTGGTGGGTGAGACGGTGGATAAGCGCACGCTATGATCGCGAGAGAAAATTAGCTTGGAACGCGAGGATAGAAAAAAGCATCCCTTTGTGTCGTAATGTTTTCTTTTAACTCTGAGAGTAACACCCGCGATCTTCACGCTGAATTAACATCACAGGCCTCTCGAACCTACATCGCATACAAATAAATCATGGCTTTATTGCATTTCTTGGCCTTTTGTGAACGATTAACATTTGTTACGTTTATCAGCAATTTTTATAGACTAGTCGCTGCCAGGAAACCAGTTATCTCACTTGATCAAGTGGATAATAACAGTAGTCACATAGAACCATTTTTTTTCCTAAGTAATAGAGGAATAAGAGTGAGGCATAGCATTTTGTGCAAAAAGTGGAAGAGGAACTAAGCGGAAG